ATCACATTACTAACTGAGAAATGTAAATTTTTGGAGATCTAAAAGTCCAAAAAATGTAAATCTGATCATCACTACCAACACAATTAAGAGTTTTATGTTAATGATACATGTTACATTTAGCTGGCTTTATTAGAAAGTGTTTTAGCAGAAATTAGTTGCATCAAAGTCTTAATAAAATTCAGTATGTCATATAAATAAATTTTTCAGTAAGGAAATCGTGCAATCAATTAAATTATTTAATCTTATAATAATTAAATAATCTATAATATAATAAATTTCTCGTGTAAATCTTGCAAAAAATTGGTCTTGTTTTAATAATTAATGTAACAAGATTTTTGTGAAAAATGAAGATGTATAATTTATTGTTTTATGTCTAATAATCTATTTTGATCGCATAGTAGTTAGCACTATACGAGCTTGTCGTAAAACAGGGCTGGGTTCAAATCTTAGAGAATCTTAGCTCGGTTTCGAATTTAATCAAAGGCTTAAAACTAAGCAAAAAGCCAACTTTTGTTTGCGCAGATTTTAAATACATCTATTGATTTTAAGGGCAATCAGACATCCCTTTAGTTCAAGAGCAATACGCATATATATGCCGAATTTTTTCTTTTCCTTGTTTCTGGATGAAGCAATTTCCTGAAAATATCTATCCAAAACTAAGATTTTTGCTTAATATCAATTTTAGATTAGCATGTTCTTTGTTTCGTACAGTCATTAGATTTTTTTAGGGGGGGGAGGTAGAAGACGGGAAAATTGCGAAATATCCTGGCCGGGAATTCTTGAATACGCGACGAGTGTGCTAAAGATAAAAGGTCCAGCAATAGTAAGATAATTTCCAGAAACCTTATGCCCAGTTTATAAATGAACTTTTGCATTAAAGGCATTATGAACAGTTCATAACCAAACTTTTACATTGAAGGCATTAAGAAACATTCACAAAATTGGTTTTGGCTTTTCTTAGTTGAAATGCTTCAAAAATGTATATTAAATCAGTTTAGTTCCTTTGCAATTTGAAAAAAAAAAAAAAAAATCTCCTTTCCCATTTTTTAATGCTATCATTCGGTTAATTTTGTCAAAATAGTCTCGAACAAAAGTATCATATTAAGCGGCGCCTACTGTACACACTTTTATTTTATTTTTTTTTAGTCTGTATTAAATTCTATAAGCTTCTGTTCAATAATTAATCATAATTAAATTTTGCTTGGGAGTCGAGGAACATTTTTTCCAGAGTTTGAAATTTAGGGAAAAAAAAGCATATCCTATGAGTCTAAGAAAAAAAGGGAAATTTTTTGTTCAAAACTGTTAACGATAAGGTATTGAGATTGTTCAATTACAGAATACGCGTTCCTTTTACTTGCTCCTACGTATCTTTTTGTTAAAGTAGTTTTTAATTATTTGGGGGGGAGGATGCGAATAAAACCTATAGATTTAGTATGCATCCATCGTTGACCCATTTCCAATAAATTTAGTATTCTCATCAGAATTTTCTTTGTCGTAATTTTTTTTCGACAGGGAGTGGTGGAATATATGCTATGCTCAAGGATCAAGTGAAATTTTGAGATTCTTTCAGAATACACAAATACCCTTTTTAACACGACTGTACATGATCCCATTCAACTTTCGATGCCCATTCGAATTTAATTTGTTGTTCAATTTTTGATGAACATTTTCAAATTTAAAAATATTCGTTAATCACCAAAATTCACATATTTAGAGAGAATGTATTAGTTAATTTTTTAAAATGTGAATGAGAAGTATACTTTCACAGCTTTCAGGCAGCGTTAGCTTTTCTGATTATGCTAATTGTGTTAGTAAGCATTCTTAACCCATATTATTTAAAAATAGTAACCAGAAATGTATTAACTCATGCAAAAGTGAAATCACTGTTATTCATTAATATGACCTGCCAGTTTGAATCGTCGCATTAATTCTTTTGATGCGTATATGATTCTTTTACAGTTTTTATACCCAATATTGCATACCATGAAAGAAAAATCATTTTAAAAGCCTGAGAATAACAATAATAAAATACAAATTTTAAAAGCAGTTTTTCTGGAGTAAAATAGTGTAATATTTACATCAATCAATCGAAATAATTTAATTAACATCCTTTATCTTCAAAGATTTCATTGATGCACTCATAACGCATTGTAGATTTTAAAATAACCTTATTGCAATGTTACAGTTAGAACGGGAAAAAATATCTCAAACTTACTAAAGAATATTCATTTATTAAGGTTTTATTTCCCGTTAACCCATTTCTAATTGTTCTATTAGCTAGCTGTCTTCCTTACAAAGCATGTAGAAATGTGTTCAATTAATTGTCTGGTTTAAGTAACATTACATATTCAACTTATATATATATAGTGCTTAATTTAATTAATTTATCATTAGCAATATTATATTAATGTATTAATACCTAAAATATATAACAACAATGTATATAAAATAGTTTTTTGTGTATTTTATCATAACTATTCAATACATTTTTAGTTTACTAATACTTAGTTAATTACATAATGTTTTAATTGTCATCAGTTTCACCAATGCTTTAATTTTAAGGTGTATGATTTGTGCATGAATTTAACAGATAAAACTGTAAAGCCTGTTAGTGGCTGAATCAAAATTTTTTACTTCAGTCAGATTAAAAGGTCCAAATCTACTACATGAAGGGCGTGTTACATGCATTCATTTATTCCAAATTTCAAAGATATTATGGAGTTTAGGTTAAAATAATACGCCGAACAACGATTAATTTAGAAGGCAAAGAACAAAAACCAGCATCATATTTGCAAATTTTCAAAGACTAGTTTTGATGGTTTTACTACCGAACCATCTTCCTCAGCTTCCAATTTGCAAATTAATCCTTTAAAGTTTGCAAATATAACTGTGGTATTTTTTGTTTGACTTCTAATTTAACATTACGGAGTTGTTTTCAAGTATCGTTCAAATTAATTTTATTTTACCTTTTTTATCATTATAATTATATACGTATCGTATAATACATTGTGCGAGAAACGAATTGCTCATATGAGCATAAAAATTGTGAGTCATCGTCTTAATAAAATACTTATTCAGGTTACTTATACACTAATCTTACCTTATTATACTCATCGTCTTTCTAGGTATTTTCTAAATTCATTTATTAGATGAAGAATTTATTTGTGCTAGGTATATGAAGGATTCGTGTGATATAAGCATTATAAGATTGCACTGAATTACTCAACAATATAATTTGCGCTATCAGCTGAAATCAGTTGAGAAAACAGATTTCAGTCTGCAAATTAGTTTGTACACATTCCTGCTACATTGTGAAATACTGTTTCTCAACAATATTTGTATTGCAAAATTCACTATTATTAAAAAAATAAATCTTTCGTTTAACTTAAGTAACAAACATGGATTTGCTGAAGTCGGAGTTCGCACATACATGCTCATGCATACGTTTGCTCATTCCTTAAGTATCCATGAAAATAAAACACTTAATAAAATTGCTAATGTTCATAACGCAAGCAAAAGCATAAAACATGCTTTCTTACACTTTTTCTAATACATGTATAAATTCAATTTCATCAAAGCTCGGACAGAATTTATTCATGGATGCCTTTGGGAAAAGAAACTATTGGAAATGTGAAGACTGAAATCTTCAGATGTTATGTCAATGACACTTTCATGATGTGTGACAATAGGGAGAATAAAACTGAGAAAGTTTTCTGAAATACTTAAAGTGTCAATACATTTCATGATTGGAAAAGAAATAAAATGAAATCTGCTGTATCCAAATGCTCCTAAGAAAGAGAGGGATAGAGTATAATATTCAGTACACTGGGAAAATAATTTTTTTCTTATCGCGTGAAACATTTTAGAAAAAAAATATGCTTTTTAAATTACTTATAGGAATATTACTATTATCAGGCAAGTTTTCGTAACTAAGTAACCTCATATGAAGTAAACTTAAAAAGGAAAAAAGTAATTTAAAGACATCTGCCATCATTCTTTTCAGCATTTTCAATGAAATGCGTTTTTATAACTTGTTCTTTTTGTAGTATGGTAATTAAAGGAGGCTGAGCTTTAATCTGGAAACAAAAGCATAGGTTCGATTCCCCTATAAGGTTGGTTCTGGGTTATATATAAGACTATGGTGTCTATGAGGCATAGGGGCACTTAAAATAATGACAAGCCTAAAATCTTTTCGAGTGAATTGAAGGCAAAAAATTGTAAGAGACCCTTGAATTAGTTCTGCTTGGTGTTCTCCATTAAACTGGGATGGGAGTGCACAGTAAGATTATCCTTGTGAAACAATTGGTGAAGTTCTGGTGTCTCACCTACTTTAGGTCCTGTCCTCTATGTTGTATTGTTTCCTACTTGCGGTGTAATATCGAATGCAAGCTCGGCCATGTGCTCGGTGATGAGACGTCTAAATGACTGATGGAATCAATATACTTCACGAAGAATTGTCAATTAGCTAGTGCTTGGCCGTTGGAGAAAGATGCACAATAGAAATCCAATTATCTGAATTATTTGGAACCGGACCTCATTCGAATAATCAAAAATTTGGATAACTGGACTTTTCCGAATAAATGTTCTACGTACACTTTAATTAATTACTGTATGTACTGTATGTTGAAAATGAAAGAAATAAACTATTTTTAAAGAGGTTTTAATTAATTAAAATAAGGCAACGCTTTTATGTTCATGTTGTTTAGCGTACTGTACAGTACTTACAAATGCTAAAAGTCATTGCTTGTTGAACATCTCGGTCAAAGTATGCTATTTGACTGTCTTATTTGTTTTCCAGCAGCCAAGTCGCGTATCCGCTTGACAATAAGGAGTTGCATGTGGTCACACTGGGGCTAACGCTCCATCCAATTCAACGCAATTTCTAGGCCGGCAAACGCTTCACTAGCTGATGGTCCCGTGTTTGTTCCAACTTCGACATAAAGGTTATCTTCTTCCTCAACACTTCTTTTACCTCACACTTTCAATAAGTTCATCAGCATTTAGAATTTGAAATCAGAATCTGAGGATTCACACACCATCCATTCTGCTGTATCCTCAGCACTAAATTCTGAATATCCAGGAATTTTTAAAAGAATGTTTCTTAATTCCTCAAATGATACGCTATCCTCACCTTCTCCTGCCTCTTCCCTTTTCTTCTCTTGAGAGTCTCGTTCCTTCTCTTCTTCAATTGATTCTGAAAAGTTCTGAAAACTATTTGGATAATCAGCGATTCGAATTGTCGCAGTTCGGATAATTGGAGCTGTACTGTATTGCTACTACTTTTATTAATTAGATCTTGACGTGAAGAGATTTTGGACGTTACAGCGCGCATTAAAACTCCGTAGATTAATTATATATATGCTTGTGTTTGTTTAAAAAGAAATCATACGTTCCGTATTTACTCGTGTATATTTCGTCTTAGCTGTTTAGCATAATGTTCTGAACATTTTTGAAGTATTCATGTAATTTTCCCCTTCCTAAAGGCGTTCTTAAAGTAAACTTTCCTAAATTTTAAAATGGAATCGTCCACGTAGTGATTATTTTACTAATTAAATGTCTTGTAGCTTTTGTTGAATTCATGGCTTGAAGCAGCAATAATAAAGAGCTTCAAGTAAACAGGGATATCTAATGCTCTTGAGGGTTCCGAAGTTCATTCCAAGCTGGAAGAGACTGAACAGTGACGAAGGCAATGACAACGGTGATGTTATGGAAAATTCTTATGTATTTTTGTTGTGTATAATTTTTGCGTATTATTTTACTGTGAAATTGTATTATCCTTATTTTTAAATTAATGTATAATATTTAATATTGTTAAACTTTACGGCAAAGTCCCTTTAAGTTTGGCAGAATTGTGTTACAGTTAAAAGGGCGCGGGTTGTATTTCCGTTTCTCACGATTCGGCTTCTTGGAGGTTAGAGGTCACTGTCCAGCTGCATTTTTCCCCTTTTTTTCGCGGGGGTTGAAAACACGTGTTTTTCTCGTTCAGAGGCGAATAGTTCTAAGGGGCAGCGATTTTTTTGACAGAGTTATAGGTTGGAACATTCTTCTGTTGCGTGGGAAAGAAAGGGTCTGTCATTCTTGTAGAAAAATCTGAATTTCTGAGAATTTCAGTGGCGATTTATTACCTTTTCTTCTGGTTGGCGAAAGAGAGTCCAAGTTTCCTTAAGATTTGGCTAAATTTTTAATTTTAATGTTGTTTGAACCAATAGCGATTTTGAGGCGTTTCTTAGTGAGTGTAAACCGAGGTTTCTTAAGCCGTTGCACGGGAGGCAGGGGGAGCGTTTTTCTTCGACTGAAAAAGATATTTTTAGAGAAGACTTTTTAGCAGATTTTTTTTTGGAGCCTTAGCGGGCTTTGCTACTATGACGGCGGCCCCTGTCGGGGCCGGCCGCGGTCAGTGAGGTGCTGAGATGGAAAAACGTGGTGGTTCTTCGGTGGGTCGACCGCGGTTTACAGTTAAGTTTTTATCTCCGAGAATTTCTGGGTACGGAGGGTCCGAGACAGTGTGGGTGCTCGACATGTTGACGGCAGCAATTCTTGCGGCCTATTATTTTCAATTTCGTCGCTGATGATTTCTTTTCCCAGTTGTGGAACAGTCTGAACTGCTCGTTCGTGCTGGAGTATTCTATTTTGCTTTAGAAAAGATGGAAATATGGAAAGTCGTCATCGCCTGAGGTCTGCTTTGGTCTTTTGTATCCAGTTTCGACCCCCTTCTCTATCTCCAGTGGAACTTCGAAAACGGGAAGATGATTGAGTGAAAGTGCTGCTTAACGGAGGAAATTGAAAACTATGAACTATGAAAAGGCTCCGTTCCGGAAACAACGATGAAGATTTGTAGTTATTGTTTCGGTTTTGAAATTGGATCAATGGATTTGGGCAGCTCCCTGATCTCTCAAAGGTGGTACGCCGATTTCGTGAGTGACTTTTTATTTGGATACATAATCTTTTTAAATTTCGGAAATGTTTATACTAAAGCAGAGTTGACATGTTAAGTAGATAAAAATTGAATATTTTGGCCAATTTCTAGCTGAGAAAGTAAATTTTTTTTTTAATGTTAATAGTCAGAAGTTAATTGAACTAATTGGAGGAAGTGAATCTTTGTTTTAATGTTTAAGTGCTATGTTCAATATGTTTTATTCTAAATTAGTTTTTTTAAATGAGTTTAATATTGAGTTCCTGCTTAAAATGATTAAGAACTGTGAAGTGTTTCCGATGATTTTGTATTAATGGATTAATGTTTAATATGAGATTGATATGAAAAAAAAAAACTATGAGTAACTTTAAAAGATTTTGTAGGGGTAGTCTGGCCAGCTATCTTAAGTTATATTGTGTGGGAATTTTCAATAAATGTGTTTATTATCTTTAATATTGTATGTTTTTTTTTGTGTATTAATTGTGGTCTACTGTAGGTCCACATGTTATCCTTACGGAAACATGGTTTTCAACCGAACCTGGGTAATTATATTGCGGTAGTAGAAAAAAATTAATTTTAGTGTGGGTGACTATACGATCGGTTTGCTGAATTATTTTGATTTGAAGTAGACTTCTTAATTGGGATTGTATCTTTCCCCGGTGTTTTGAAGAGTTCTGTTTGTATTTGAAATGTTAAGGTTTAAGGCTATCTAGATTTTGTACTGAAATTTATGTGTTTTCAGGTTGGAGATCTAAATAGTTTTCATTTAGTGAGAGATAGCCTGGTAAGGATTTTGTTGTGGAAGTGCATTTTCGCATTTTGTTTTTGTCAAATCGTGATTCTACTAAAACACAGGGGAGAATCTTCTTTGATGTCTCTTAGATTTTAAAGGTTTTGATTATTGTAGTCAACTTAGTAGTACAAAGTTTAGTGTTAGTTTTTTTTTTTTTTTTTTTTTTTTTTTTTTTTTTTTTTTTTTTTTTTTCTGTCGCGCACTAAGCTCAGTTTGAAAGTTAAAAAAGTTAAATAATAAAGTTTTTTTTTTTTTTTTTTTTTTTTTTTTTTTTTTTTTTTTTTTTTTTTTTTTTTTTTTTTTTTTTTTTTTACTACGTAACAGTGACGATGGCGATAACATGCAAGCTGCAGCAGACCGCATGTATAGAAGTTTGAGAAATATTAAATGATTTCAAGACTAAGAAATTGCAGTGCACAACAAAACGGGGGCGAGATTCATAATAAACAAAGCAAAAACAAAGTTATCTTACTAAATACTGATCTAAATTCTTTTTTAAAGTACAGTTTTTTAAGTAAATAATTCTGGGATAGTTGTCTGTAGTTTATCCATGAACACCTTTCATTGGTTATATTCTTCCCGTAACTGCTTCCTTTGGACATTAAACTATTCGCAGAATTTTTCCCTCTAGTTTCGTACAATAAAATTAGTAAACAAAGAGGATAAAAATATGCTAATCATTATACCTCTTTTTCTTAATAATCTTTAAAGAAGCTTATTAATAAAAGATAAAAATAAAAGCCTTAAGGTACCACTTCAAAAAAAGTATCTATAAAAGCAATAGTATTGTCATCAACAATTACAAGCCAAGTTCCATAAGATAACACCAGTTAAAAATTTTTAAATGCATTATCGTGAACAGAAACACATATCATAGTTACAAAAATATTAATTTTTTAATATAATCTAGCATTTTAAGTCACAATAAACATTCAAATAAAGACTTTATCCTAATTTCGGAATTACACTCCTGAAATGGATTGGATTGGATTATTCAATTATGGCAAAGTACACGAGGGCTATCTGCCTAAAGGGAGGATGCCTTCGTTAAGGTCTTTCTAAGGGAAACTGGATCGTATACACGTTACACACCCGAAAACGCCCGTGCAACCAGCCTGTTCGCGGGATTCGAACCTACCAGTGTTCAGCTTCTTTACCGCTCGGCCGCTGGTGGGCCACACTCCTGAAATGAATATTTAATTCAGATTTACATAATCTTAGCAGACGTCGAGAGTACGGATTCTAAAATAAACTCTTATGATGCTGAAGGTTAAAACACGGAGGGTCAGAATGCAAAAAAGTTAATATAACCTATTCCTTAACAAACTCTCTTACAGTGCTTAGTACCGCATGTTTTTGTTCGTAGAGTCCGCAGAACTTGGACACTTCATCAAAGCAAAACACGAACCTTTATCACTCAGCCATTTCTTAATCGTCGGTAAAAATGAAACATTTTATCGAAAACGTTATCGCTTAACAAACTCTTAAACATCGTTAAAATTGAAATTCTTCGTCAGTATAGGACAGGGACATTTATTGCTTTGTCTTCTCTTAAACTCTGTAAAACGGAACTCTTCATTGATAAAACTGTAACATTTCATCAGTATAGGGCAGGAGCCTTTCTCGCCAAGTCATTCTTTAAACATCTGTGAAACTGGAACACAATCTCTGAGAAGTGCAAAATTTCGTCCTTAAAACTGGAACAATAAATTGGAACACTTCATATATCTTCATAGTGTGGGGTCGATATCGCTCTGTCTTTAGTCATCTCCAATTAAATGTTCTTTTTCCATCTCATAATTACAGACTTGTCTACTAGTTATCATCGGAAAAAAAGTTCACCCATTTTTTTCCCCCTGCATATTGTTAAACTGAAAGCAAAAGCTAAAAAAACCTCCCCAAAAAGCCCTTGATTCGTCAAAATCTTTCGTATTTATCTGCAGACCTAGTTATGAATTAAAAGACATCTTCTAATGCAACTATGACTCACTTAATTGGTCTATCACAGTCTGCTGCAACCTTTTCTGAATCAGTTATAACCATGTAGGAATTAAATAAGGCACCGCACGTGTTTTCCATATGGCATTAAAAAAAGACGGGTAGGGTATTTTTTCCAATTCATTCATCACGGGAGGTCTTCGACAATATTCAGGTAGAGACATAATGTTCTACTAATTATTTTCTTGAGAGACATAAAGAAAATAATTAGTAGGATATTTCTCCTATATAGCCTGAGGACAATTTAAACAATGGATGACGCTATGCTTTAAGTCAAGCCATTTCTTTTATAAAGCTGCCGCATCAACTTTCTCGAAGCTTTCAGACCTTCACCCATAAGGCGGGGTGTTTCAAAACGTCCGCTTCAAGCTCTCTGTGGCTCGCTTCTTATTAATGGAATAGAAAGCATAATATCTTTCTGCAACCGACACAGATAAAGAAAAGGATCCCTTATTCCCTATCTAATTGTTTATCTTTTACTAGTGCTTGC